TTTTCATTTTTGTACTTGGTACAGGGTCTCACTATGCAGCTTGAACTCATAGTGATCCTCCTGTTTTCAGCCTCCCCAGCACTGGGATTACAGGCATGCGCCACCGGGCTTGGACTCATTCGCAGGCTCAGCGTGCCTTGGGGATGGGGCCGGCGTGGCATGCAGAACTGGGGATTGAACCCTGGTCCCTGCGCTTGCCAAAGCAGGTGCTTGGTCCACTGAGCTACCTCACTGGCCCTTTTTATTACACATTATAACTGTTGTACTTCTAAAGAAACACTAATGGCTTTAGGCTTTTGTGCTATGATGTGTAAGTAGTTCTTAATGTGAATTAAAATTGAGTATATTATAAAACATAGGGGTGTCAAATACAAAATACCAGCAGTCTCCTTTGGACTGGAAATCAGTTACTCATTTAGAAGTGAAAACAAGACTTTGTTAAATTTTTCTGTATATAGCATTATTAAAAGTGCAAAAACAAGTGAACTTAACTACAGGAGACATACACATAATTCCAAGTCACGGAAAGGGAAGAATATATGCAGCTTAATGGTACAGCGTTGTCTAGATGCACAAGACTCTGGGTTTAACTCTCAGCATTATCAAAACCAAAATACAAAACCAAATCCAAAGAAAAAAGAACATTATTTTTTAAAAGCTGTACACAGGATTTCCATAGAAAAGTTCTGTGAAAGGATAAAATCTTTTCTGTGATTTCAAGTGAAAACCCCACATGTATGGAAGTTCTATATCATGCTTTGTCTTTGCACTCTACACAACCCAAAACCATGTCATGCACAATGAAAAAGTAATGCACATGCCAGGCATGGTACAATATGCCTGTAACCCCAGTAGTAGTAGTTGGGAGGCTAAGAAAGGAGGATTACCACAAGCTCAAGGCCAGCCCAGAGTATATAGTGAGTTCAAAGCCAGCTTGGAATAAAGAAGAGATGCACTACCACCTCTTTTTGTTATACAGCGATCACTGCATCAACTAGACCACACATCAGTAGCATTTCTACGTAGTAATGACAAAAAGGAAATTAAGGAAAAATCCCACTTATAACACAGCAACAACAAAAAATATTTAGATGTAGGCCAGTAATAGAGCTCAGTGGCATGGCGCCTGCCTGGCAAGCACAAGGCCCTGAGTACAATTCCCAGTTCCAAACAAACAAACAAACAAACCCCTCTCAAAACTTTAGATGTTAATTTAACCAAGGAATCAAAAGATTTGTGTACTGAAAACTTAATATTATTTATAAAAAGAATTGAAGAAAACAAGTGAAAATATACCTCGACTTCACAGACTAGATTAAAATTGTTAAAATATTCATATACTTGAAATAATCTACAGATTCAATTTAATCTCTATCAAAATTCCAAGGTTGGGCCGGCCAGATAGCTCAGCAGATCAAAGCGCCTCCTTAAGCAGACACAGGGACCAGGGTTCAACCCCTGGCATGCTGTGCTGGCCACACCCCTAGGAGCATGCTGAGATGGGTGATTGAGACTGGGCATGGTGGCACACGCCTGTAATCCCAGTGCTTGCGAGGCTGAAAAACAGGAGGATCACTATGAGCCCAATTTGTGTAGTGAGACGCTGTAGACCCTGTACTAAAAAGAAAAAAAAGAAAAAAAAAAAAAAAATCCAAGGTTATTCTTCACAAAATAGAAAAATAATTCCTCAACTTTCATAGAAGCACAAAAATACTCCAAAATGCTGAAACAAACTTGGCCAAAAGAACAAAGTTGAGAGGGTTAACACTTCCTGATCTCAAGTAGGTTATAAAGCAATTATAATCAAAATAGCATGAATTTGGCATAGAAACAGACCTATCAAACAATGGAACAAAAGAAAAATGCTAGAAATAAACCATGCATTTATGGTCAATTAACTTTCCACAAAGGAGTCAAGCACATATAATGGGGAAGACAGTCTCTTCGGGAATGTGTTAGGGAAATGAATTATTTATATGCAGAAGAATGAAACTGGATCTTTATCTCAGCATCTCTAAAAATCAACTGAAAATACATTAAAGAAGTAAACAGGAAAATATGAAACTGTAAACCTAGCAGGAGAAAACAGGAATGTACCACAACTGGTTTTTGCAGTAATTTATTGGGCATGATTCAAAGGCATAGGCAATAAAAGCAAAAACAGACAAATGGGATTGTATCAAACTAAAAAGCTGTACAACAAAGCAAATGGCAAAGTATAGAGACAAATCATAGAATGGGAGAAAATACTTGCGAACCTACATCTATTTGATAAGGGATTAATATCCAAGTGTGTAAGGCAAATGGCTTATTATCTTAGACATTGTGGAGATTGAGGCAAGAGGGTTTGAGGCCAGCCTGGGCATGGGCAGCTTAATTTAAAACAAAACAAAACAAAACAAAACAAAAGCTGGTGCTAGAGCTCAACTCTCTCTGGGTTCAAGCCTCAGCATACCCTCCTACCCCCACTTCAACATTAAAGTCAATAGGTTTGCTATGTATGCACTAATAATGAATTAGCTGAGAAAGAAATCAGGAAAGTAATTCATTCCGGGTATCTAAACAAATATACAAACCTAGGAATCAATTTAACTAAGAAGATTTACAATGAAAATTACATAACACTGAAGGAAGAAATTGAAGACACTACAACAGTGGTGGTGAACCTCAGGCATGCAAAGCCCTCTGGCAGCAGTGGAGCCAAGTTGCCCTAGCAGCCAGGCACTGGATAACAGTTGTTTTCTCTAAGGTAACACCTGAGTATTCAGGTTTAATTGCAGTGTTGGCACTTTGTGATTAAAAAGGTGGATTTTGAGTTGCAGTTTGGATACTTAGTCTGTTAAGAGGGCTACTGCACTAGAAGATAGAAAGATCTCATTGGGCATGTTCATGGACTGGCAGAATTAATATTGTTAAAATGACCATATTACCAAAAATAAGCTATAGATTTAATGCAGTCATCATCAAAATTCCAGTGACAGTCTTCCCAGAACTAGAAAATATAATCTTAAAAGGCATGTGGAAACACAAAAGACCCACAATAGCTAAGGCAATCCTAAGCAAAAGAACAAGGCTGGAGGCAATCAAATATTCAAATTTCAAGTTATAATTCTGCTGGGTCTGAGGCTTAGTGGTAGGGCACTTCCCTTTCAATTGCAAGGCTCTGAATTAGATTCCAACTGCAAAAACAATCAAAGTATAAAAAACTGTGAAATAGTTCTTTCAATAAACAAAAACCAGGCTCAAATTGCAGAATGCTCCTAAGGGTGAAGGACATAAGGTGACCTACGAGGAGGTCCACTATTCTCCCAAAGAACTTCCTGAGAGAAGTCACTAAATTCCTTACATCTCAAGAGAAGTCTTTCTAACTCTTATACGCAGAGGCCTAATAAGCAAATGTAGGGATGTTTTACAGTGGGATAAATGGTGACAAGAATATACACCTGGATCAGGCTAAGTTTGTTAATACAGGCCATTTAGGTAGGGATTCTCAATTTAATCCAGCTCATGGAGTAAACAAAGGTGGTAATAGTTTATTCAGCTGGTTGGCAGAAGTATGGATCAAAAGATGGCCCACTGTGAATGAGTTAGAGATGCCTCATACCGTATATGCTTTACTGTTGATGAGGGAAATGGGAATGATGGAGTGCCTCATATTAAACCTAATCCTCCACACTGGGATGATCCAGAAAATATACATTTAACTAAAGCTTTGAACAGCCAGCCAAATAGCTCAATGGATTAAAGTGCCTGTAAGCTGGTGCAAGGGCCAGGGGTTTGACACCTGGGCCTGCCATTCTGCCCCATACCCAGGGCACGCTGAGACAGCAATTGAGACTGGGCATGGTGGCATATGCTGGTAGTCCCACCTTTTGGGAGTATGTAAACAGGTGGATCACTACGAATCTGATCTAGTAGTGAGACCATGAACACCCTGTAGACCCTCCTCCCCCCAAAAAATAATAAAAATAAAGCTTTGAGAAACAGATTTGTGAAGGGGAACACTCCCTTGAAGAGCCCTGTCACCATTCTTCTCTGAGTGCCATATTTTACAGTGGGGACTGTGGTTACTAAACTGAGAAATTTGAAGGCAAGGGGTTTGACTGGATCCTGTGGTGGCAGAGGTCAAGCAGTAGTACTTAAGTGCCAGAGGAAGGATGTATGTGATGTGCATATCCTAATGGACAGCAGAAGCACAACAATGACCAAAATGGTCTAACATGTAGACTTATAGCACTGGCTAATCAGCCATCGTGTTCCC